ACAGGCGGAAATTGCCCATCTTTCTCCTTAGGAGCAGCTGGTGCATTAGAATCGCTTGCCTTTAAGTTGGCACTCAATTTCTTACCAACAAGGCTTCCAGAGTTCGCAGAGGAAACAAAGATCCAGTATTAAAGGAAACTTTGTCTCCGAAACTTTGGGCTTGTTCTCAGGAGGGGCTAGTCCTTGATGGGGGGGCAGCAGAGGGGGGTGGGTAACAGGCTGGGAAAGGTCAGCAAAAGAGAAGACTACCCTCAATTAGCTGGATTGATAGAGTGACTCTTAACAGTGGTCTCAAACGTGTTGGAGATTGTGAGGGTGGTCCTAGGAGTAGCAGTGGTGCCCAACAACAGCAAAGGACCCAGTGTATTGTAATGTATAAGAAATGAACATTCTGGGGAGCTCTGGTGGCCTTGTTGCAAGGAGCTGCAACTACAATCCCAGAGGCGCACGGTTCAAATCCACCAGATGCTCTGCCGGGGAAGGAGGGGCAGTCTCCTCCTGTACCAGTCAGATCTGATATGATGGTACACTCACACACAAAAATAATAAAATTAAAAAAAAAAAAGAAATGAGCATTCTTTGAAAAGGATACTGTATTTTACAGATTTTACTAATTTGAGTTTTCTGTAGGAAGAGTTTCTAGACTATTTTCCAGTTAGCGTCACTTTATAATTGTTGAGCTTTAAGATTCTAGGTAGAACAATCTATGAATGTATTTGTAAAAGAAACCATAGAATCTGAAAAATCATCAGGTTATCCTTAATGTGTGGGGTATGCCTCTAAAGATCTGTCTTCCATTTCATCCCCTGCCTCCCTTTCTAAGCAAGATACACATCTTTCCTTTTGTTATAACCTTAATTCTTCTTTTCCTATCTTATAAAGTTAAAAAACCCACAAAATCACTGCCATCGGACTGCCTCTCCTAACATGAAACAAGATTATGCTCTTTCTAGATCTGTAAAATTAATCTCCTTACCTGGGCCTCACCCACCTCCTTTCTGAATCCTTGAAGCTGCTTTGCCAGTTTCCATCCTTTCAAGTAATCTATGATGAGCATTCTCGCTCCCCTCATTCCTGTTCCCATAGCATAAGCAGGTACTTGACACCAACGTGTCTTTCAACAAACGCTTTAAAGACTGGCGATTCTTATTTAGGATGGAGTGAGAGGCCCATTTGGACATCTCAGAGGCATAATCTCAAAAAAAGGTGATCTTTCCAGGTTAGATAAAGAATACGTATGTTCTTATTGCATACCATAGAGTCTGAACTGACCCATAGCTAACCCTCCAGCAGGTGTTCAGAGGCAGTTAATTCCATGGGTAGAGATTGCGCCACCTCCTCCCGCAGAACAGTTGTTGGCATCGAACCTTTGGGATTGAAGCACCGCTTCTTGCCAGTAGGCCACCAGAACTCCCTAGAATACTTAACATTGGTATAGAAAGTCCTTGTTATTGTTGTTGTTATGTGCCTTCAAGTCGCTTGAGACTCATAGTGACCCTGTGTACAACAGCCCTAAACCCTCCTCTGTCCTGTGCCAATCAATCGCACCGTCTCTGATACACCCATCCCAATTACCCCAGTCACTGAATCAATCCACCTCATAGAGGGTCTTCCCCTCCACCGCTGTCCCTCCACCCTACCAAGCATGATGTCCCTCTCCAAGGACCTGTCCCTCCTTACAACATGTGCAAAGTATGTCAGACGAAGCCCCAGAATCCTTGCCTCCAAGGAACAGCCTGGTTTAACCCTCTCCGGGCTGAATCTGTTTTCTTGGCAGTCCATGGTACATTCAGTACTCTTTTCCAGCACCACAGCTTAAAGGCATCAATTTTCCTTCTATCCTCCCTAGTCATTGCCCTACTCTGATGCATAACAAGTGATTGCAAAGACCATAGCCTGTATCGGATGCACCTTAGTCCCCAGAGTGACACCATTGCTCTTCAGTTCTTTGGAGAGGTCCCTAACAGCAGACTTTCCCATCGCAATATGTTTTTTGATTTCCTGGCTGCTGGTGCCAAGAGTGTTGACCATGGAGCCAAGCAAACTTAAGTTGTTAACAATCTCAATCTCTTCACCATCCATCCTGATGCTGCTAATTGGTCCAGTGGTGAGAATCTTTGTCTTCTTGACATTGAGCCTCGTCCGTGACTCTCTGCAGCAAGTGCATCAGGTCCTCCTCAGTTTGAGCAAGCAGGATTGTGTCATCTGCATACAGTTTCATTTTTCCTATTTTTGAGAGTGATGCATTTGCTGACAGCCTGTTAAGTAGACAGCAGTGATCTGGAACCCTAACAGGGACACAGTTAGATATATCTCCTCCTTGAGATTTTGCCAGGTTCTGATGTGACTTCCTCTCACCATGTTTATTCCACTCATTCTTGTAAGTTTGGCAGGAAAAAAATAAACCACAACTTCCTTCTTCTGGAACAGCTGACTGTGAAGCTGCTCTGCCCTCCTTGCCTCAGAAGCTCCCCATGTCGCCTGGGAGGAGATAGACCAGTAATCTGAATACAACATCCTTGACAAAGGACAAGCAGGGGAAGTAACTACCCAGTGCTATACCTCTGGTTCGAGAATTAGGCAAAACCTTAAATCTGTTAGTTCTAGAGACCCTTGTAGGTGAGCTCTGGTGGCCTAGTGGCAGGAAACTGCACTGCAATCCCAGAGGTGAGCAGTTCAAATCCACCAGATGCTCTGCTGAAGGAGGACCAATTGCCTCCTGTACCAGTCAGATCCAATTTGACGGTACACACATAAAAAGAATAAATAAATTAAAAAAAAAGACCCTTGTAGCTGTTAAAGGACTACAATATAGGCTCTTTTAAGATCCCCCCCCCCGCCTTTTTCTTTTTTTTTTACTGTGGAAAAGATTTATTAGTCTGTACAAGTTGGGTTTGGTTGGCTACTTGTTATAGTGAATTATCAAGACTTTCATTGCAATAGTAGGCTCCCATGCAAATAAAAATCTGGAAGACTTTCTCAAATTGTCATTTAGTGGATTTTTTTCCTATTTCTCAAAACATAGAAATAGGGGTTTCTGACTACTATCTAGCCATTTACAGAGGTCAAAAGATACATTAAAAAACATAAAGTTAACGACTGATGAACGTGTATGAAAAAAGGAAGTTGATTTTGACAGTTGTAAGAATTACATGAGTTACAGTAAACATGTAACTTCATGTCCTTCTGAAATTAAATGGAGGAAAATCTTTACGATCACCCTGCCAACCACAACATGACTAAAAATGCATATAAAGGGGCCATGAATCCAACATACATACCACAGAATTAAAACCCTAGTTATTATGTAAATTTAAAAGTAAGCTCAAACTTCTTTAACATATCACTGCTAGTTTAGAAGCATCACTAGAACAAATAGATTTAATTATAAATTGGCTGGGGCTTTCCATAATGAAACTCTTAATAATAAAACAGAATCTGTCGGCAAACATCCTATAAAAGCATGCTCTTTGTATTGGCAATTTGCCAGATTTGATGATCTAAGTATACTTCGTAGTGTTTCAGGAGTTCTAGATACCAAATAATTCAATAGTTAATAGGAGTATTTGATTCACTGTTGGTGGGAGTGTAAAATGGTGCAACCCCTGTGGAAAGCAGTATGGCGCTTTCTCAAAAAGTTGCAAATAGAGATACCATTTGACCC